AAGTTCCTGTGTGACGTTTTCCCTCCCGCGTCTAACAAGTCCTGTGTGACGTTTTTCCTCCCCGTCTAACAAGTCTCTGTGTGCCGTTTTCCCTCCCTGTCTAACAAGTCCCTGTGTGACGTTTTCCCTCCCCGTCTAACAAGTCTCTGTGTGACGTTTTCCCTCCCGCGTCTAACAAGTCCTGTGTGACGTTTTCCCTCCCCGTCTAACAAGTCCATGCATGACGTTTTCCCTCCCTGTCTAACAAGTCCATGTATGACGTTTTCCCTACACCGTTTAACAAGTCCTGTGTGACGTTTTTCTTTCCCGTCTAACAGTCCGTGCCGTGTGTAACATCTGCGTAACTAGTCTCTTGGTCATATTTTACCTCATGCATAAGTCCCTGTGTCAGATTTTACTTACTCCATACCTAGTCCCTGTGTCAGATTTCTACAATGTACCTACTGTCTACCAAGCCCTTTAGTCAGATTTTAATTTCTAACAAATCCCTGTGTTAGTCCCTGTGTCACATTTTATCTGCTACCTAACAAGTCATTGTCACATGTTCATGTGTTATCATCAACAATATCTTATTCCATGCCAGAAAAAATGAGTCTTGTCATGACATGCCATTTTATCGTGATGATATGATATTACATGCAGAACAAAGGGAAATAACTACCGTTTGTATCTTGTATACACAAATCAGATTGTGATCATGTGAAATAGAGCGAAATGTTATCACTAATTTATCGGGCGCCAAGGATTCGTCAGTAATGTTTATATAGATAGATATCTTTACAACATACATATATAGGCATGTGGTGCATGTAAGTAATCATGTGACACGCTCTATAAATGCTAGTACACTTACACGCAAACATAAACATAAACATACGCACTCGACCATAGCCTGTGCTTTATATCATGACATGTGCAGACACGTGCATTCGACACATAATACTCACCTACACTTCGGACCCATCCTGACTGAGAATCTGATACAGGTTCAATACGGCTCTGTACGACTACAAATGTAACACTAGTATACGCGCGTACCGATTGTTTTTCTGACACAGGAATGTTAACTTCAGACAAAATAATGACACACTTTGACATTTGCCATTATAACACACAAATTAATATTTCATAGCGACACACGACCAGAGCAGTTGTACTCAGGTTAAAAAGCTACAGCGGCTGGGCATGTGTGTCGACACAAGTCGACAGATCGACGAACGCGTGGATATATGCAAATATACAACTACCGTATTTGTTATCGGACATAACCTTATACAATTATGTTGCTACCATATCAAGTAATATGCTAAAACTGCTCTTTATTAATAACCTACAATTTTTGACAGTGCCGTTTTGGGGATTCCCCCGCGTCATTTGACGCGCTAGGGGGCGCGATAGGTCAGTCTGTCTGTTACATTCAATGTACTTATTCATGCTGGTAAGCAGCAACCAATCACTGCTTTGCTTTCAAATAATCACGCATGAGCAGACGACCACTAGTTACTCTGGTCCGACCATAGTCTCGTTCAACCAGACGCTTGATCACTTGTAATTCAGTTCGGCGTAGTTTGCGCAGACAACAAGAGTCTGGTTGAACGAGACTAGTCCGACCAAAGGAACTCGGAAGGTTGTAAGTCCGTGGTTGTTCATGCATGCGCACCGTAATTTCTTGTTTCTTTACACATGCGCAATACACGTTACTAAAGTGAGTTCGATCGAACTCCAGTTAGACCACAGTCGCTATAGTTGATGATCAAACTCGCCTATAATAGGTCAGCAGTTTATACAAAATGCAGAATGGGTTTTCTTGATACACTTTACGGAATACGCACACGAACGTAGCTTACATATCCTCAGGGTGTTTCCGATTGCTGACTGACCTTTTCTGACCCTGTCACACCGACATCCTTAAAATTCAACAGCTACTTGAGGCAGAGTGAACGGACTTTATCCCTCTGCTGCTCATTTATTTTCAACCCCTCCCCTAGTTAGGCTACGTATGGCCATATATATGGAATGCAATTTATGTGCAACTCGGCTATTGTAGGGTTGGCTTATTAACTTCCTATTGTCACAAAATTCGTTTTTAAGAAGACCTAAAATTTATGAACATATCGGTAAAGCTGCAAGCCATCTGGCAATTTGTATTCAAAACGTGACGTACTTACAAATTGGTCACGCGTTTAAGAGCAGCCCAGCGAAGTGCATGTCTAGAATAAGTCACCTCGGGTAAGACAACCAATTCTCCCACCTTCACAGGCGTGCCTCCCGTTTTAGCCGGGGAAGATCAGCTTGTCACCCCCTAGGGGGGATAGCCTCGTGCCGATTAACACGTGTTCAATATGACGTCATTAAAATGCGTCATCGGTAATTGTGACGTCATCAAAAGTGAATGACGATATGCATACCCCACATGTGTTTTTGTTTACAAACATGACAGACTACTGTCGGTGGAGTTGTGACTGAAATAATAGGATGGGAAAAAAATGATCATCCCCTACCTTGAGGGTGTAACAGAGAAATCTCCAACCCTCGTGGTGGTTTTTTTGGTTGTCTGACCCGAGGCTGTTGGAGATTTCTCTGTCACACCCTCAGGGTAGGGGAAGATTCCATTAAACATCAACCCTCGCTTTTTAGATTTATGTAATCTTTTGCTACCTTGGGTGTAACAGATAAATCCCTAATATGAGGGGTGATTTTTGTATTGTCTAACTCTCTGTTCAGGTTCGGGGAAAGAACGGACCTGTTGTAACCCACTGCATGTCGTAAAATACAACTAATTTTGGGCCCCGGGCGGTATCGGGTTTTCATTCTTCTGTAACAGGAAAGAAATAATGCACGGCCAGACCGGGGTCCGAACCCGGGACCTTCCGAATCTAGACGGACGCTCTACCAATTGAGCTGTCTGATCGCCGACGATCGACCCATTCCAGTCCCGCTTCACTTCTATGTCGCCTGATAAGGGGACATTGAAGAAACCGAAAATCGATCTGCTGCCCCCATGGCAACTCCTGGAATCTATATTTTTTGTGATATCTCTTCCCTGCTCTTTTTTTCGTTAGTGTCTACCTGTTCGCCCATTTTCATGTTACATTGGGCAGTTTGGCCATTTCGAAGACGTTTACACCAGCCCCCCCCCCCAAAAAAAGTGTCTTACCCGAGATTAGGCAACCAAATAATCACCCTGAAGGTTAGACATTTTCTTGTGCACCTCAAATTAAGGGATGATTATTTTTTTTACCACCATTCAAATACTATGATAAAGACAAATAGATTTCAGCATTTCTTATGTCCTGTTTTGAATAACTGAACCCTGATTTGCACATGACCTGTCCCGTCGAGAGCTGGTTGTGACGGTTGATTGTTTTCCTGAGGTAATTGGTTTGGTAAAACGGGAGATATTTGTGGGAACTATGGGAGAAATCATCGCCACACCCTCAAGGTAGATTCTATCAATCCCATTCCCAAAAGACGCCGACATTATCTCATCGTAAGCGGAAACTGACGTTATCTCACCTCCAAAAAACGACGACGTTATCCTGACGTCAGAGTATGTCCACGTTATCATGTCGTCTGAAGACGCCGACATGATTTCATAGTCAGAGAACACCGACATGATATCATCGTCAGAGGACGCCGACATGTTGGTGTCGTCAAAGGACGCCGACATGTTCGTGTCGTCAAAGGACGCCGACATGTTCGTGTCGTCAGAGGACGCTGACGTGTTCGTGTCGTTAGAGGACGCCGACGTTATCATATCGTCAGAGGACGCCGACGTGTTCGTGTGGTCAGAGGACGCCGACGTGTTCGTGTCGTTAGAGGACGCCGACGTTATCATAACGTCAGAGGACGTCGACGTGTCCGTGTCGTTAGAGGACGCTGACATGATCTCATCGTCAGAAGATGCCGACGTTATCATATCGTCAGAGGACGCCGACGTGTTCGTGTCGTTAGAGGACGCTGACGTTACCATATCGTCAGAGGACGCGAACATTATTTCATCGTCAGAGATTGCAACATTATATCATTGTTATAGGAAGTAAACGTTATCGAGTCGTAAGAGGACACAAACGTTATTATATCGTCAGAGGTCGTCTACGCTATCCTGTCGTCAGGAGACGCTGCCGTTTTTCGAATGTCTGAGGTTGCCGTCGCTACCATGCCGTCAGAGGACGCCGACGTCATTATATCGTCAGAGGATGTCGACGGTATAGCTTCTTCAGAGGGTACCGATTTCTTCGTGTCGTTAGAGGACGCTGACGTTATTTCATCGTCAGAGGACGCCAACATTATATCATCGTTAGAAGATGCTGACATTGTCCTGTCCTCATAGGACGCCGACTTTATCTCATCGTAATAGGACGCCAACTTTATATCATTGTCAAAGACGCCGACTTTTGACATCATCAAAGGATACCATCATTATTTCATTGCTAGAGGACGAAGTTATCCTGTCGTCAGAAGACCACATCTTATGTTAAAATGTGTAACTGCTAAATACGCTACATACAGAACAGGCAATTCAAGTATACAACAAACAACAGGCATTAAATTGTTGAGACATTTTTACTTCATAACTTTATAACATTTAGCATATGTACACAAAGTCTACAAACAGTTTGACAACTTGATAACAGATTCACTCGACAATAAACACATCATACATACACGTGCCCAGTACATAACTACATTTGAAAGAGTTCCTTTCTTGCTTCCGAGTTTCCTGATTTTATAAAACTGATATATCTAGCTTTACATTCAGTAGTTTTATTACACTTATAAAAACGTTACTCTTGTAAGAGCAACAAAACATGACATTTTCAGTATTTATACATTTTTTTTATTGTTCACCATTTTTTGAGCGACTCGAAATGGGATATTCCGTCTTTGCGTATTGCAGAGTTATCTTCTCTTATGAGCAGGGATTAATTGTTACGTCATTGGTTTGTGAGAGTAACGTCATCAATTTTTGAGAAAACAACGTAATTTTCTCACACAAACCAATGACGTAACAATCAATCCCTGCTCACAAGAGAAGATAACTCTGCAATACGCAAAGACGGAATAGAAAGGGTTCAATCAAAGGCAGTTAACATACTTGTAGGTATTTGAGTAGGAGAGCTGTGGTGAAAAAGGGGTGTGTATGGGTTTGGAGAGAGAGGGGTGCTGTTCAAATGGAAACCAACCAGGGAAACTAAAATGTACACGACATGTTAATTTTATGTGAGACACATGTCATTCTGTTTCTCGGATTTCTCAACCGGCTTTGGTTGATAAGTGTAATCCCTGACGTTCGGAATATCTTTCACAACACATGTTCCGAATGCCTCAAGACTGCGCGGTAGGTCACTGGTGTCATACCTACAAGAAGACAATGGAATATCTTAAAACATTTGATATCAAATATACAACATTTTTGATATAGCGCCCTATCTAGCTAACATAAGTCACTCTAAAGCGCTTTACAGTACACAGATATACAATTTTATATTGCTGAAAATACGTTGATAATGAGACATGTGATTATGACGTCACAATCAAAATTACAAGAATTACTCATGCGTGCTATGTTCACATTAACTGATACCCGCTGATTGGTTGGTTAAAATGATGTAGTAGTTTAGATATACAGCTTAAAAAATCTTACCATTCCTGTGTCTTTACATCGAAATACTCGACACCAGCAATGGAACTTATTCCATCAAAACCTCCAAATGCAAACAGCATGTCATCTATTACCTAAAATACAAAAATCTACGTGAGGTCAAGGCCAAAAAGTATTTGTGGGAATGCCAATTGCGAATATATATACTATAAAAATATAAAAAAGAGTTGCCGTATCATTTTACTTAATCGGATTCCTGTTTATATACGCATACCATTTGGAAATGCAAAAGGTCATTATAAGGATATGTTTCAGATCAGTAATTTGTTATAGCACAAAAATAAGCCATCCAAAATATCTAACCTCGAACCAAAAGTGTACGAACCTCAAACCCAAAATGTACATATTTCGAACCAAAAGTGTACTAACCTCAAACCCAAAGTGGCTGCGCATATAAAACATATCCGGAATAGCATGCCAGGTGTTAGTCGCAGGATTGTAGCGTTCACCACAGCACAGACGACTTATCCCCCCTAATCCACCCATACAATATATGTATCCGTCCATCATAGCAACGCCAAAGCCAGTCCTACGCATGCGCATATGCTCAATTAATGTCCATTGGTCAGTTGAAGGTGTGTAATATTCCCCGGAATTTAAGCACGTGTCGCCATTAAATCCTCCAAAAATGTAAATTTTCTCTGCAATAACGATAGTACAAAGTGAAAACATAACAATATTAGATTACATAATTATACAGAAATACATGGATATATTTGAAACGAACTATATATGCGAACTGATACCAATCGGAGAGCAATTTACCAATATTGGTGTAGATTATCTACATAGATGAACATGTATATAAAAGATACAAAAATGATATACATTTGTTTACAGTTTATATATGTATGTCGTTCATGAAAGGAACAACTCGGACTGACGGAAAAACGTGGTCGTTCAAGGCCGAATCAGCAACAATGAGTGCGGTGTATTTGTATTGCTTTTGAGGCACGCACAAATTTCAGTAAATTACGTAGGAAGGGGAGAAACTCCTGTAATATCAACTCGATCTTCACTCACACAGCGTCACAGAAGTCGCAGTCGCAACATAGATTTGTTACACAACTGTCAGTGGTTTTACAGAATCCTTTAGCGGTAAATTAAAAGACTGCAGGTGCACAATTTGCTTCAAAATTGTTTGAAAGCAAAGAACGCATATGTCTCTGTCATTGTCCAAAAAACGTGGCCAATTTCTGGTTTTGAAAGTTATAAAAAAACAGAACGCACTATCAATGCAAACTAAGTGGCAACTGTCGAAAATCATTCTGTTCTTTCCGACGGTTTGACGGAATAACCCGAACGGCCCCGGTTAATTTACCATTGACGGAATAACCCGAACGGCCCGGTTAATTTACCATTTGACGGAATAACCCGAACAGCCCCGGTTAATTTACCATTCAATGTGGTAGCCTTAGCATCACTGCGTCGATGATGCATTGGAGCGATCATCGTCCACTGGTTCCGGGAGGGGAGGTAAAACTCAGCGGATCCTAGCCTGTCACGGCCGTCAAATCCTCCCATGGCATAGATATGATCTCCAAGATGTACCGCGCTTACGTAACATCTACAACGAGAGCAAAAAATACGAAGCTACAGAATACCAAAACATTATAGTATGGGAGCAGCAGACCAATTTGTTTTTTTTTTACAGAGGCAAACTCCGCATTCTGCAGCAGGTCCACATCATCGCCTCACAAGATCATGTATACAGTTTGATACTGCAGTAATTATTTTTAACCGTCTACGAACTTGCAGAGAAAGTTCAATGTGGACGCGAGATGGTATTGTTGAAATCGAGAAGTAGCACTGTACCATCGGTACAGGTTATTCAAAACTTACCGGTTTTTGTGCATTGGAGCCACGACGTCCCATTCTTTGGTGACAAGGTCAAAACTGCGGACACCGTTGATGTAGTGGAATCCGTCATAGCCACCTATGACGTAGATTTTCGTTCCCATGGCAACTAATGCGTGGTAGGCATGTAGATCTTGAAAACATTGTTTTTTAAGTATTTCAATTTGTTTGATGTTCATTTACATATATCATATATTCGGACTTAATCATATCAGTAAGATAGTATATTAATATTATATCTAACAAGATGAAACAAAATTCATTTAGGTACATGTAATTGCACACCGTTCGTAAACTTACACTTTCGTCAGTTTGATGCAAGAGAGACAACGCTTCAACGAATATNCCCCCAACCCCCCTGAGAAATTGACGCGAGGAAAAACGTCGTGTCCACAATCTTGAAATTAAAGTTTTCACTTTTGAAAATATTCCCGCCGTTCCATCTGTTACTTCTGGAAATTAGTTTTTGCTTTCTCATCGTAACGGCAGACAATTGAAACTCACTAGCAGATGGTCTTCTTTCTTTGCCACTTTGCGAATGACGTCTTCGAAACGCGTTTATCCATGATGATAACAATGGTCCGGAAGTCATCATCACGCGATATTCCCCGGAGCAGAAAATGGTTCTCTCTGACTAGGCAATAGTCTTTGAACTACTGCCCGGTTGAAGTGAAATATATTAATAATACAGGAATAGCCAAAACAATCAGACATTTCGTAAAGAGTAAAGTGGCATACAATCATGCAAGTTTAGTCTCAGTCCCTACCTTTGTCGAGATAACGACTATCGATCCACTTTTCAGCACGGCTATCGTACGATTTTACATCATTGGTCATGCTTCCATTTCGACAACCCCCGACCATGAATACAACCTCATGGGGGGTCCTTGGTTTAGCTAGATGACTCTCGAGGTCAATCACCTAAAACAAAGGACAGACAGCTGAATCAATCATTAAACATACATAAATTGTAGCCAAAGTTTTGAAAATAAATAATTGAACATAGTTAATTATCGAGACGAGTGATATTATTTCTATTGATGTAACGTCCGTCTTGAGTTCGGTCTTCCCGTGTTTGAAACCAAGTTTTCCAGCTGCATATTTCCGTCCTGTTACAAAATAATCTACTACTCTTTGGCAACGAGAGCAAGGGGCGTTAGTGGATATCTGAATTTTGGTATAAAATAACTTTATCTCCGCACAAACTCCCTTCACCCACCTTTAGTAGAAAAGGAAGATAGGCATACAGATCTGCGATTATTACAGAGCAGAAATTTCTGTTCGTTACTAACCCCCTTCCCACTCAACTCCCTCCAAACCCATGACTCACACACCTTAAACACTTTTGTGAGTAGGTAAAAGTCTTCTGGGCAAGAATTTGATGTCAAACATAATGCAAATGAACGCAACCTTACCTTGAAATCGTCTAAATCGAGAGAGCAGAGGAACTTAAGGGCTTCGTGTACGAGAGGTTGACAAAACGGGTTATCAGCGACGTATGGATGTGACCGAACATTTTCCGCGAAATATCTGGTGTTGAGAAACCCGAGACGGACTGTTTTCAACAGTCGGTATATATGGCACTTCCGGATTTCGGGGGCGTGGTCAATCCAGCGTATCAATGCAGAAAACACTACCTCCTCACTTTTAACATTTAGGTCGTTTGACGAAAGAATTTCGCAAATTTCGTCGATGCTGAGATCCGCAAAAGCTTCACTTGATAGGGAAATTTTGCGAACATTTCTCATTATAAAGAAGTAACAAGCCTCTTTGAGATCTGTAAAGTAGTGCTTCTTAGCAAATCTATAAGTTTCCATACATCCGTCTGTATTAAGGTTCTCAGACAGGAAGTCACAGCACTGCTTCGCGAGCTCGTACACGTGTAGTCGATCTGCCACCGGAAGTAACTGTTTCACGTTTTTAGAGGTGATTTGAGTTTTTTTCGTGTATGCAAAATCGATTATAGCCTGCATCATTTCTCCGCTTACTGAAGGAATCACAAATTCTTTCTGATCAACAGTCGTCAGTTTGTTTGTGAAAAGCGTGCGGAAGTAAGGGCTACAAATATACATAACTGCACGGTGGACAGAAAAGGCCCGGTTGTCAACTTTCAGAATGGCATCACAAAGCTGTCCGCATAACCTGAGGTCCGTGAGGACGTCATACGCATGTGTACTGAGTTCGAGTTTGTCGACACAAGCCGCCATTTCCTGTTTCGCTTCGCTTTTACGTATAACTAGAGAAGATACCACTGCCGCTATGAACATGGTGTGATGACTACTACCTAGCGATGGTTTCCATGGAATGACGTCACAATGAACATTGCATTTTCATGACGTCATAACATTGACTACGAGTGTAAATAGAATTATGACATCAAACAAAGCATCGTCTTTAATGATGACATGAAAATAAGCGACTTTCACGTCTTTTTGCAATACAATCCGCGCCATGCAGGTTGTTGATCGCGAGTAGCACAATAGATAGCGCACTCGTCTTTCGCGTTTGTAATAAATGTAGAAAAAAAAAAGAATATACTCTGTGCAGTGCTCCCACAGAGGATCGAACTACCGACTTCCAGGTTCCCAGATCTAGACCGCCGCTCTGTCGATCGAGTTCAAGGAAAATCTCAAGTGTGTTGGCCCTCGATCACTACCAGAACTAAGGTTCTAACTCTCAATCACCAAGGGAGGGCTATGGGCACCATTTTGTAGTACTAGGATAGAGTCTTTGGGGGTAGAAAGGGAGGAATGTAGCGGAACTGGGCCCTGTTGGTCGCCAGCGACCAGCACATGTGCTAGTACATTGTTAGAGTGTTCGTCTAGAGTTCGGAGGTCGTGAGTTAGAATCGGGGTCTGGCTGTGTATTTTCCCGTTCCTGTTACACAAATAGATTTTTACTGAAAACCATTTGTAAAGTTAGTAGTTTTTAATGTTGATGCATGTAATAATACGTACATGAATTTGATATCGTATTGTATTATTCCACATAGGAATGAGTTTCGGGCAAAATTATAATACTAATACTCGCTGAATTTTAACAAAGCTAAATTGTCACATGGCAAAGGGAAAAGACACACAATGAATTAAATGTTTACAAGATCTTCTATCTCGAGTTTCCTCTGGCCCTGAGACCGGACGTAGACATTTTGAACGATACAAGTGTAGATGTCTGGTGTGAGTACCTCTTGCCCCGACACTAGTCTTAGACATTTTGACAGATAGATTTCTGGCGTGAGTACCTCTGTCCCTGACACTAGTCTTAGACATTTTGACAGATAGATGTCTGGTGTTAGTACCACTGGCCCTGACACTAGTCTTAGATATTTTGACAGATAGATGTCTGGTGTGAGTACCACCTCTGGCCCTGACACTAGTCTTAGTTATTTTGACAGATATATGTCTGGTGTGAGTACCTCTGGTCCTGACACCAGACTTAGACATTTTGACAGATAGAGGTCTGGTGTAAGTACCACCTCTGGCCCTGACACTAGTCTTAGTTATTTTGACAGATAGATGTCTGGTGTGAGTACCACTGGCCCTGACACTAGTCTTGGACATTCTGACAGATAGATGTCTGGTGTGCGTACATCTGGCCCTGACACCGGACTAAGATATTTTGCCAGATAGATGTCTGGTGTGAGTACATCTGGCCCTGACACCGGACTAAGATATTTTGACAGATAGATGTCTGGTGTGAGTACCACTGGCCCTGACACTAGTCTTAGACATTTTGACAGATAGATGTCTGGTGTGAGTACCACCTCTGGCCCTGACACTGGTCTTAGTTATTTTGACAGATAGATGTCTGGTGTGAGTACATCTGGCCCTGACACCGGACTAAGATATTTTGACAGATAGATGTCTGGTGTGAGTACCTCTGGCCCTGACACCAGTCTTAGACATTTTGACAGATAGTTGTCTGGTGTGAGTACATCTGGCCCTGACACCGAACTAAGATATTTTGACAGATAGATGTCTGGTGTGAGTACCTCTGGCCCTGACACCGGACTTAGATATTTTGACAGATAGATTTCTGGTGTGAGTACCTCTGGCCCTGACACCAGTCTTAGTCATTTTGACAGATAGATGTCTGGTGTGAGTACCTCTGGCCCTGACACCAGTCTTAGACATTTTGACAGATAGTTGTCTGGTGTGAGTACATCTGGCCCTGACACCGAACTAAGATATTTTGACAGATAGATGTCTGGTGTGAGTACCTCTGGCCCTGACACCGGACTTAGATATTTTGACAGATAGATTTCTGGTGTGAGTACCTCTGGCCCTGACACCAGTCTTAGTCATTTTGACAGATAGATGTCTGGTGTGAGTACCTCTGGCCCTGACACCAGTCTTAGACATTTTGACAGATAGTTGTCCGGTGTGAGTACCTCTGGCCCTGACACTAGTCTTAGACATTTTTACAGATTGGTGTTCCAAAATTCAACCAGTCTTAAACTTCTTTTTCGAAAATGTAAATGTTTACTATTCTAAACTCGTTGAAAACTGTTAGTCTGTTCCAAAATATATCAATGTAACTAACCTTACTCAAATTAACCTGCTGAAAAGGGGCTTCATGTCACTCTCTACTAGGTTTCCCGTACAGGTGCCGGGTGTGGTGGTGGTGGCTGTAGTAATCCCCCAATAGCCGTGGTAGTGGTGGCGGGGAGCGGAGGGTGCCAGGGAGGTCCGTTTTGAGGTTTCTTCTTTGAAGGAAGGGACTTCAAGCACATACATGGCCAATTTAGATTTTCAAGTGGACGTTTTTCTTTTATATTTTCGATTATTTTATTTCATTTGCTTTAACGTGTTTATATCAACCATTTTTGGACCTTAATTACCTCTTTTGTCATAATGTAGTGTAATGATAATACTTATCTGTACCCTTGTGACATAATCAAATCCACCGCACTGCCACCTTGATGACGACTTGACTTGTTTTGAGATTGTTACGTATCCTGCATACTTATACACTAACCCACCTGTTACCGACAAGTATCGAGACTTAGCATGGGGAATCTGCATCTGCACCTCCAGGAAACGCATTACCCTAAGGCGACGACCCTGTCTGTGGGAGGGCACATTTTCACCCACTGAAGACGCTCGGTGTTGTTTCACTATAAGTGAGTCCGAGAGTGTTTTTTTTTTTTGAAGAATAAGGGTCGTCACAATGTCCCTTAATACAGCTGGCTTGAGTATTTTTATACGAAATGATTCAATTATGATTATTTACATTGAGGGAACATTTTCTTACTTGAAGGTTGTTAAATTCTCTTAATGTAAAATACATTAAGATTTATAGTCGCAACCCTTTGTGCTAACTTATCGTCACTCTCATCCCTGAATGTAAAAAAATTAGTAAAGACACGGTGCGGGCGAACCTCTTACTGATATTTTGTTGACGTTCAAGGGTGTACATTTTTTTTGTACAGTAAAGGGTGATTTTCTTTAAGGTTACATTGAATAAATAATGTTTAGATGCCATAGCACTGTTTCCTTAAAAAAAAGTGTGGTATGTTATAATTTCTTAAATTTCAGTTTCAGTTTTAATATTTTTGTTATGATTTTTTTATGTTAACCATTAATTATGACAACATTACTGGCAACAATTTGTTCAAAATCACAGTAAACGAAATCCAGATGGCTAGCTTGCTACATATATATATGTATGCCGTGTGTGTAGTTTACTGTGATTTTACACTATAATTACTGCGAGTTATTTCCCTTCCATTACACTTCACTTGACCAAAGTTACTGCACCTTTTTCGTGCGATGCTGCGCAAACATATTTTGGATAAAGGTAGTTTCAGATGAAAAATGCTGATTATTCGTGTTTTTTCCGATTTTAGGTATATATCCATTTTTTTTAAATTAAGGGACACGTTGTAATAAAATTCCCGTTACGTTATTACAGTAATATACAGTGCTGTATCATAAAGATCCAGGAAATATTATGTTGTGAAATGTGTTACGTCACAACATCCGATAGAGTTATCTCCCGTTAAAGGTGACTTTTCTCAACTTCCGTTCCGTTTGGCATGTCTGTAACAATTCGCAGCTGTTGCATGTGGAAAGGATAGGTAAGAATGCACAATAAAACCCATATATGTAGTGCCTGTTGATATTATATCTCGCCGATTATCTTACTCGACCTCAAATATACCCTTTACTAATATACAAAATTACCTGTGATGCAAGGTGAAAATACCAATACACATCTTTCAGACGTCTGATGGGGTTGGGGAAAAACGAACTCTCACTATAGGTTTGAAATGTCAGAAGGAAAAAAGCCACAATTTGTTAAGGTACTCAGATCGAGATAAGTAATTTTCATCGAGAAAGTAATTTGTTTGAAGCCTCTACCCCGACCTGCTAAACGGGACCGATATCGATCCCACTGCCGATATTGTGACGTTTCAGGGGGTTCAGTTCTTATTATCATACGAGAAAAAATATTTGATGAAGCGTATTAAAAGAGGAAAGGGCATCATTTTTGTTACTGTCTTATATATATAGTATAAATATAAACATACTCAGTGCCTGCAGTAAAACATGTAGACTATTAATATTGGTCCTATAAGACTACTGGCAAATCAATCTAGGTTGATTTGGCTATACATTATACTGTACATTGTATGTAGTCAACATGTATATGCACTGAATTTCAACAAATGAGTCATATTTGGTCAAATTTACCCAGTGCATATCAAAAATATGTTGGACCAAACAGGTGATTTGGTGAAATAAAAGATTTAATTTATCTATTTACTTAACCTCTGGTGACTTTGCTTAATTGCAATACATTGTTGCAAATTTTGGTACCTGCATTCCTTTTTTCCCTCTCTCCTATAGTCAGACAAGAATATTAGCAATTTTCTTTACCAAAACACCACATGTCTTGATCCAGGCATCCGACTCATGACCAACTCAGTACATGTTATCATCTTGACTCCGATGCATTGACCTTCGAAACCACATCCCCGGCATGAATCTGCATCACATCATGACATGATGCTTATATTTGGAAATACATTGACACAATTTTGCATAAGCACACACTTTAGATATACAAAAACAGAAATTAATAAATTTGACAAAAACATTCCTTTCACCATCTCGCCAGCTTAGTCAACATTTTTTGTATTGTGCATAAGATCATTATTACTGTTACTTGTTTGATAAGTATTATACTTATAAGTCATATTTGACCAATGTCTTTCCAACAAAATCTTGGTGAATATCAATATTGGTTTGTTTTAAGAAGTAGAAAATTAAATCCCCTTGCAGATATTTGTAATTGAGAGATAATTTT